TTTTTGAGGATAAAACCATTTTATTGCATTTTGAAAGTGCGGGGCATAGGCAGTGAGAAGTCTCAGTAGGGTAGGCAGATTCCAGTTACATCAGGAAGAGAGGGGTAAGGGACCCAGAGACTGGGCCTTAAGGGTGGGTGCATAAGGCTTCATTCCACTATTCCTGTAAGTCTTTACAAGTCATTCATAAGGACCTTGAAGCCCTGATGGGGGATAGGTCCTCCTGTTCAAGGCTCTGAGCCTGGAGCTGAAAGCTGTTGGCATCCAAGTTAGACAGGGTGCTCCTTGGGAGATTTCAGAGCTAGATGAAGAAATGGACATGGCGAAGTACTCAGAGGTTTCTTGGATTGGAGGACATGAACGGAGGTCTCAGTTGGTCCCGTAGCAACTTCAGTTCCTCCTGCAGAATTTCTGATTCCTTCCACAGCAGATGCTGCTCACTCTGTAATTCCTGGTGAAGGCCCCTGGTATCATTGTACTTTCCTGATCCTGGCTGCATCTGTGCTTGGGTCTGCTCCTGCACTTGTCTCCGAAGGCTCTGCAGTTCTCTTCTAAGTCTTTCTAGGTGTTGCTCAAGAAGAAGGAACCTCCTTTCTGGGCTCCCCTGCAGCAACCTTAGTGATGCTTTCAGGGCAGAGATCTGGTGCTTCTGCTGCTCTTGTTCTTCCAGTAGGCCCTGCACAGACTGCTTTAGTGCACCAATCACCTGAGCCTGAGATCTAAGCTGGGATCAGTGAACAGTAACTTCATCCCAGAGAGAGGATGGACTGTGGGCCTCAGCCCAGCTCAGTACCTTTGGAACAATGGGAGGAATCTCCAGAGTCCAGGGCTGTTGAGCTCGGACTCCAGACTGGGGAGGCATGTAAAGTGGGGAAGTCCACGTTCCAGCCAGGTCCCCTGCTGCGGTGAAGACCCCAAGGGGATATAGCTGCTGCTTAATCCTGGCCACGTTTCCATCAGTGGCACTGAGAAGTGTATTGAGTTGTTCAGACCAGCTCAGGCCCCTACTCATATCCTGCGGCTGAGGCCCTTACTCTCCCAGAGAGGATATCGAGCCACAGCCCACAAGAGACCACAATGTCAGATCAAAAGCAAATGGTGGGGAAATAATATTAGTGAATGGATTCAATACTAGATGAGAACCGAGACTCTGGGGCAAGTCAAGGGAGCAGGGCTCTGGGGGAACTGGGGAAAAAGCAGAATACCCTAGTAAATAGATGTCAGGTAGGAGTTGAAGGCACCGATATTGGTTGAGACCAGCCCAGATCCAGACACAGACGCCATTGCGTCCAACCTCTGCCAAAGACCTATCCTGGAATGTTTTGATTACACCATTGTATTTGATTGACAGTTTTGCTGGGTAGAGGATTCTTGGGTGGCAGTTTTTTTGTTTCAGGGTTTTATATATGTCTCCCCATTGCCTTCTTGCCTGCATGGTTTCTGTTGAGAAATCCGAGCTTAATCTGATTTGCTTGCCTTTGTATGTTACATTTCTCTTTTCCCAAATTGCTTTCAAGATTTTGTCCTTATCTTTAATTTTGAGAGCTTGATTATTGTATGTTTTGGTTATTGTCTTTTATGGTCTATCTTTCCTGGGGTTCATTGAGCTTCTTGAATGTTTATCTTTTCACTTTTCAGGATGTTAGGAAAATTTTCTTCCACAAGCTCTTCAACTATCTTCTCTGTGGACTTGTGTGATATTTCCTGTTCCGGAATGCCATTAATTCTTAAATTATTCCTCTTCATGTTATCCAACATGAATCTTAGGCCTTCTTCAGATTTTTAATCCTTTTTTGTGTTTGCTAGTCTATCTTAGTAGTGTTGAGAGATTTATCTTCTAGTTCACTAGTTCTGGCTTCTAGCTCTTCATTTCTACTCCTTTGCCCTTTCAGTGTATTGTCCATTTCTGATATTCTATTATTAATCGTTTGGACCTCTTTCTGTAGGTTTTGATTTATTTCCAGTGCTGTGTCTATCTTATTTGATTGTTCCTGTAGCGCTTTCCTGACTTCGTCCTTATTTTTCTCAACATTCTTACGTAGTGTTTTGATACATTTTATAATCATTTTTTCTGAATTCCTTCTCAGGCATTTCCAAAGCCTGCCCATCTTCCAGTATGGAGTGAAGGTCTACTACCAGCTCATTTGCCTAGTCACTTTATCTCATTTCTGGACATGTGCAGATATGGTCATCTGCTTCTGTTTTTTGGGCATCTTCAGGGGTATCTGTGGCCTTAATACTCAGATGGGTGTGTATTTTGATATGTTTTATGCTTTCTGATTGCCTCCAGGTAGATGTGATCAGGAAATGGGCTTCCTTTTTTACTCTTCTTCTTGAGAAATTTCACAATGCCACTGTTGGTTGTTTTGATGTAATTTAGGATTTAATTTTCGGCCGATTTCCTTTTTAGTCTGCCTGTCCTGCTCCACAATCCCTGTTCAGGCCTTTTTTCTAGGTATAAACCGTTCAGGGCCAGCTGTGGCCGTTTGGTTTTAAGTGCAAACTGTCTCTTTAAATTTCAAAGAGATCTGTGCACATGCGTAGTAGAACCCTCCAAGGGTGGGGCCGGGATGTCCACTAGCTTAGGCACCCCTACAGTCACTAGAATGGAGGTGCTCAGACAACAAGGGACTAATGAACAGCTACCAAAAGAAAAGAATGTCCACACCTTTGTCTCCGCAGTTCTGTCAGGCCTCCATGGCTTCTCCGATCCTTCCCCTGCTTGGTCTCACCCAAGATGGCGTCGACTGGAGCAGCTGAGCATCTTCAATTAGAAAGCAATGGATTTCTTGCTTCTGCTACAAATTCCCCCAGCTGTAAGCCTTCCAACCTACTAAATATTCCTTTATATGAAGTTCAGAGTTCTGGGACCAACCCCTGAGCCTGCCTTGTCCTGTATTCTGTGTTGTTGTTGATGTAGCTCCTTACTGCATTTCCACCCGATCCGCCATCTTGTGTGTTCTCTCTCAATGATCAATTTTTTGGAAGTAGATCATCAGACCTTTCTTCTGTGATGCCTCTTTGTGCATATGGACCTCCAACCTTTCTGTTAACAGCTGAGCATGTGGTAACTATTTGTACCAGATCTATCTAGAGCAAATAATCTGAGAAGCTGGATTATATGAAGAAGAATGTGGCATTAGGATTGGAGACTCATTAACAACATGAATATGCAGATGGTACTATCTTTCTTGCTGTAAGTGAAGAGGATTTAAAGTACCTACTGATGAAGATAAAGACCATTTTATCCTATGGCCTTCCATATTGATTGTGCCATATATAAAGATAATAAAAATCCTTATAGCTGGGCCAATAAATAACACGATAAATGGAGAAATGATTGAAGTTATCCAAGACTTCCTGTTGCTTGGATCCACGATCAGCATTCATGCAAGTAGCAGGTAAAAAATCAAATGATGTGTTGTACTGGGTAAATGTGCTGCACAGGATCTCTTTATAGTGTTCAAGAACAAAGATATCAGTTTGAGGACTAAGGTGGGCCTCACTCAAGCCATGGTATTTTCAATGCATGTGAAAGTGGGACAGTGAATAAGGAAGACCATAGAAGATTTGATACATCTGAGTTGTAGTGTTGGAGAAGAATACTGAAGGTACCATGGGCTGCCAGAACAACAAACCAGGTCTGTGTTGGAAGCAGTGCAGCCAGAATGCTCCTTAAAAGTCAGGGTGGCGAGACTCTGTCTCTCATACTTTGGAGAAGGACATCATGCTTGGTGAGTGGTGGGTTAGCAAAAAAGAGAAAGACGCCCAAAGAGATGGATTGGCACGGTGGCAGCAGCTGGAGTTCAAGCGGAACTCTCAGTGGAGCAGGGCTGGCTAAGGATGGAATGAAGTGGGGCTACTGAATTTGAACATGAGCTTGGGTGTAGAGGTGAAAGTAGGTGTCACCCTCCCTGGGGACACAGAGCTATGGGGTCTCATGAACTTTTGAATTTGAAAACTGTCTTCCTGGATGAAAGGGGAAGAGAAAGGGTTTTTTTGAGTCATTAGCACTGTCATAATGGAAACATTACCACCCTGTCTTTGGGGACACTTCCCTCTGTAGGCCTCAAACTCCTTCATCATGAAATGACAATAGCAGCCTATACAGGGTGTGGGGTATCAGTGGTAAAGGGTGATAAAGTGCTTTGCTCACATGCTGATGTGAAGGATGATACTGTCCTTGTTCTCAAGATGACAGTTAGCTAGAGGTTAACAGACTGCAACATCTCACCCCCAGGTCTGATGAAAGTTTTTCACTTCCCTTGCCTGAAGTCTGAAATAACACGGGGAGACATGGGATTCCCTTTAAAAAATGGATTTCCCTCTTGATTTATGGACATCTATGGAGCCTGTTGTCCAGAGGACATCGTGATTAGAGGGGCTGCAGTTTGGGAGAGTGGTCTTGGTGGGTACAGAGTCTCTGGGTTGAGGAGGTCTCATCTGAGGATAAAGGGTGCTGGGTGCGAGGTTGGTTGGGTGAGGATTAGAGGCCACCTGAGGGAACACTGAGTTCTGAGACATTCTTACTCAATGTATCTTCTGACAGCTCCAAGGACATCCTGCCCCCATGTTCCCCTTGTGTAAGGTCTGAGCTCTGTAGGAGGAAGCTAGAGGCCCACGCAGGAGGCTCAGGATCTCGCTGACCGGGGCCTCTCCCCCACTGCACATCTCTGTTGAGTGGGGAGAAGAGGGTCTTTTCCATCTCAAGGGTTAGTGCTCTGCTCTTGGGTGAACCTTCAATCCTGCTCAGTGTGACTGTATGATACAGGGAGGTGAAGTTTCATGAGGCCCCGTTTTCTTGATTACAAACGTGGTTGCTAACATTTGCATCTAAACTCTGTTGAGGCTTCAGAATCCGACAGTCCGGGTGGGGGGTGGCGGGAAGTGAGGGTTCGCCCACAGCGCTGCGCGCTGCTCCGGCCCCGCCCCCAGGCCCGCTTCCTCCTCCCTGAGGCGGGCGGGTGAGCTCAGGGCTCACCACTCGGGCCCTGGCTCTCCACGGGCAGCCCCGGGCCGCCACGCCATGTCCGCCAGCTGGTTCCGGCGCCGCCTCCTGCCTGGGGGTCCGCTCTCCGCGCCGCGGCCCCCGGGGCCCCGCGCCAGTCCAGTGCCCTACCGGCGGCCTCGCTTCCTGCGCGGCTCGACGTCGAGCGTGGGTGCGGCCGATGCCTCGCGCCGCCGGGACGTCCGGCCTGTGCGCAGCCCCGCGCGGGGTCGTGTGCTACCCTGGAACGCGGGCTACGCCGAGTGAGTGCTCCCATCCGGGGTGACCCCCACTCAGGATCCCATCCCACTCTGGGACGACCCTCACCAGGATGACTCTCCGCTCGGCATCTCCAGCCTGGGCCCCTGAACTGACCCAGAACACTGGCTAGCTGAGTGAACAGCACCCCACCTCGCCTCACCTTGTGGATGACTCCTGGCTGCTCTCGCTTTGGGACCTGTGACAATTTTCCACCTTATCCCATCCCAGCCCTTTCTTTGGGACTCCATTCTCCTTCAGAGATGGTTGGGGTTGGGTAGGAACTGCACCCCAGGCAGGGGCTTCCAACAGGAGGCAGTGTGTGGCTGTGTACAGTACCAGCATTCAGTCTTTGAGATTACACACAATGCTTCTCGCCCTGGATTTGCCTTGTGTGGGACAGGTGATGAGTGATCCTTCATGAGATGGGACTGAGGTAGAAATGGGAGCCCCAGATCTTCCTGGGCAGCCCCACCCAATTCAGCAGACAGGCTTCAGAGAGCTGAACTGAGTTTTTCCTTAGCTGTGATGACACTGGAAACAAATTGTGGTTGTCTAGGTGTCTGTCTGGGATAGCATGGGGCTATTTCCTCAGAGGAAGGGCTCCCTTCTCTCTGTGCCAGCTCAGGTCTCTTGTCATGGGGATGTGGGTGTATCCATCTGCTGTCCACTTTCTGCCCTCAGGATCATCAACGCAGGGAAATCTGAGTTTAATGAGGATCAGGCTGCCTGTGGGCAGCTGAGCATCCGGCGATCTGATTTTGGAGCTGTAGAGGACCAGGAGTGGCTGACCCTTTGTCCAGAAGAGGTAAGTACAATGGGCCTGAGCCTTTCTCAGAGGTGGGGTCAGGACACTGCCCATGTGTGTAGGCTGAGTTTCCTGTCTTGTTGTTCCATGTCCTGGCTCATGCTGGCCCAGGGGACCACTGGGGAAGCCAGGTGGGGCCTGAAGTCAAGCCCTTCCTGCACAGTTCCTGACAGGTCATTACTGGGCCCTGTTTGATGGGCATGGCGGTCCTGCAGCAGCCATCATAGCTGCCAACACCCTGCACTCCTGCTTACGCCAGCAGCTGGAAGCTGTAGTGGAGGGCGTGGTGGCCACTCAGCCCCCCATGAACCTCAGTGGCCACTGCGTCTGCCTCAGTGACCCCCAGTTTGTGGAGGAAAAGGGCATCCGACCACAAGACATAGTGATTGGGGCTCTGGAGAGCGCCTTCCAGGAATGTGTGAGTGTGGCCTTGGACCCAGAGAGGAGGGTCTGCCCAAGAATGTGAGGAAGCTCTGGGTTGTAGGGAATCCATGCATACTATGGGGATCACCTTGCATCTTTGGGTTGGGAGGACGAGATTGGATTTGTTTGTTCATGACTAGTGGTTACCATTGTCAGGATCATAGCCCCTCCCATTTACCCAGCACCTGGTATATGTTAGGTGCTTCTACCATCTCTTGTTGTCCACTCCATTGATCTGAGCTGAGGGATCCCTTTCTAGATCTCCCTACTATAGGGTGCCCTGGGTCAGGCCAGCAAGCCTGCATTTGGGAGTGAACTGTAGGGTGGGAGTCAGGGGCTAGTTGGTATGGTGACAGTAATGACAGTAGCTGAGGTGGCCTCTGTTTGCCCCAGGATGAGGTGATTGGGCGGGAGCTGGAAGCCTCAGGCCAGGTGGGCGGCTGCACAGCCTTAGTGGCTGTGTCTCTGCAAGGAAAGCTATATATGGCCAATGCAGGGGATAGCAGGTGAGTGAGCTCGGGAGGGTGGGCACCAGGGGCAGTGGGAGATAATGAAAGGGAACTGGACGTTGTGGGGTATACATGGGGAGGATGACTGGCTGGATTTTTGTGTGTATTTGGTATATGTCTACTGATGGGTGGGCAGTGGATGCCAGGCTCCCCAAGGCAACCAGGGGCCTCAAGTGCCAGTCCAAAAGGCTGAGCCTTTACCTGTTGGCCATAGGCAGCCATGGAAGGCTTTGAGCAAGGGATTAGCATGGGCAGAGTGGGCTCCTGGTAGTTGGAGGAAGGGTCAGCAGAAAGGAGGCCTTGGGTGGAGACTGCCCATTCTTCTCCCTCTCTGCCCTTCTCTATTCCCACCCCTCGTTCCAGGGCCATCTTGGTCCGGAGAGATGAGGTTCGGCCAATGAGCTCTGAGTTCACCCCTGAAACTGAGCGGCAGAGGATCCAGCAGCTGGTAGGTGCCCTTGATAAAGAGGCTGTGGATTCTTAACTACTGGCCAACAGAGGGAGGTCCACAGCCAACAGAGGGAGCCTGACCTGAGTATGGCCTCCACACCCCAGGCTTTTGTTTACCCTGAACTCCTGGCTAGTGAGTTTACCCGACTGGAGTTCCCTCGGCGCCTGAAGGGAGATGATTTGGGGCAGAAGGTTTTGTTCCGGGATTACTACATGAGCGGCTGGTGAGCCAGGCCAGATGGGAGCACAGTGGGAAGGGAGAGCCCTGGCACCCCAACCCTGCATTATGGCCTGCAGTAATTACCTATCTGGGTAGTGAGGGGGTGGTAAGCTGGGCCCTGGGCTAGGGAGAGACGAGATGGGGAAAAGGGTCTGGGTTGATGCTGGGTCTGTTTCTGGTAGGAGTTACAAGCATGTGGAGAAGTCGGATCTCAAGTACCCACTTATCCACGGGCAGGGTAGGCAGGTCAGTGTCTGGCTCCCCTCCAAAGAAGCTCTCTTAAATTGCACCTGCAGAGATGTCCTTTGTTGGTGGCTGTGGCTGATGTCCTGGGGTCTACTTCGAGACCAGTGTTTCTCCCCTGGATTCCCAAGGGCCTGGCTGTCTCCCCTTGTGCTAGTCTTGAACTTGGGTATTTGTTGGGGCTTCTCGCCATCACTTCACACCCCATGTTGCCCCTAGGCTCGGTTACTGGGAACACTGGCTGTTTCCCGGGGCCTGGGAGACCATCAGCTCAGAGTCCTGGACACAAACATCCAGCTCAAGCCGTTCTTACTCTGTGTCCCACAGGTGAGGGGGCCATGTGGACCACCCGTTTTCATGTGCCTGGGAATGTGGAAGATGAGGCTAGTGGGCTGTGCTTGCAGGTGACAGTGCTGGATGTGGACCAGCTCCAGTTAGAGGAAGAGGATGTCATTGTCATGGCAACTGACGGACTTTGGGACGTCCTATCCAATGAGCAAGTGGCACGACTGGTACGAAGCTTCCTCCTTCGGAACCGAGAGGACCCTCACAGGTACTGTAGGTGTTGAGGACCAGCCTGAGCTGGTGCCAACAGCACCAATAAGTAGTTCTATTTGAGAAGCTGGTACAGACATTGAGCCTGGTTAAGTGGTGGGTGGTGAGCATCAGGGTTGTCTCAAGCTTCCTGTGGATGACTGCGGTGCAGCCTTTGTCCTTCTTAGGCTTGTGCTGGTCTGGCCCCAATTTGACTGCATTGCTTGTCTTACAAGTATGCACTCATGTGCAGTGGGTTCTTTCTGAGAGCTGGTCCTGCCTTTGGTCTGCCCCTGCATCTGCAAGATGGTTCCCACAGGTTCTCGGAGCTGGCCCAAATGCTGATCCACAGTACACAAGGGACTGAAGACGACCCTAAAGGAGAAGGTCTGGTGTCCTACGATGATGTCTCTGTATTCGTAATTCCCTTGCACAACTGGAGCCAAGGAAGCAGTGGTCACTGAGGATTCAGGTAGGACACTGCAGCCCAGGCCCACTTGGACTGGTGCAGTCTGGACACCCCTCCACTGTAGCCAAGAGCAGAACCTTCTGCCCTGTCCCCAGACAGAGCCCAGTACTCTTGCCTCTCATTCCCACTTACCCCCATTCAAGGGGAACATTTATACCAGACAAGTCAGAGCTAGAAGGGTGCAGAGAGTTGGCTCCTTGGACACCCCTATACAGGCAGGAAAGAATCCTAGTGTTAACACCCCACTGGTGGGATACTGAGGGACCATACACTTCAAGACACCCATGTATGGTTCCTCAACAGCCCAAGATACTATTACCAGATGGGTATTGGCTAAGGATGCTAGGACAGGCAGTCCTAGTGCTTGAATCTAGGTCTCCCAATTCATAAATGTCCACTCACGACCCTCAAAGTCATGCAGCATAGGAACCGTTGGGCAGTCTATGTTTGCTGAAACAGCCACCCTGAAGACAGTCTTTCCTCCACAGGAGGCAAGACCCAGGTTCTGGGACTAAAGTCAGGGGAGAGCAAAAGTGGCCAAGAGGAGGCGCCTGGGGTTGGAGGTGGGTGACCCCAGACCTGGACGCAGACCTGCCCTGAAGCCCTGGTGGCGCCTTTATTTTGTTGCTCCCCATCACTTTTGATTAAATGGTATTGTACAGAAGAGCCGTGACTCGTTGGACAGCTTTTACTAGTTCTTGATACTTTCTAGTGGATTAGCTTCAGTTCCCCCTTGTCCTTCACCTTGCAAAGAATAGTTGCTCAGGGAACACGTCTGAATTCCTGGGATTGAGGTGACAAGTCACTTGGGTCTCTGGGGTTTGCTGTTTGGTTCTTCACTTTCTCCACAAGACTGTTGTCATCTTAGACTTGCTAAGGTTCAGGTACTTGGAAAGTATTGGCAGAATAAGGCAACCACCACCTTCCTGATCTCTCTACCCTTCTGACTCACTTTATCCGTGGACAACTGAATTGACTTCTCAACTCACAACCCTAGACTATAGCCAGAAGAGGCCCAGTAGGCCCAGTGTTGACAGCAAAGCTTGCGTACTTAATCCATCTGGGAAGCCCTCAGAACCTATTCTTGCCCCTTATCTCCTTTAAACTGCATGTCTAAACATTCTCCAAGGGAAGCGAGAAAAACTACAAAACCAGACATTTCTCATTTTCACATAGCTATAGTCCACAGCTCAAGACTTTGGGCCTGAACCTGTTCACATCTGTGTCCTGACAAGCTGGTGTTGGCCCTGGAAGCTCTGGGCAGCATCTCTCCAAAGCTCTACCATTTAGGCAGCTGGCAAATGCAGTTTTACTTCTTTTTCTCAGCAAAGCTCTTCCTTTCCTTAACAAAGCGTGGGCAGTCCTGAGTCTGCCTCTTACCCACATCAACTGCTGTGCTGGTAGCCCGTTTGGCTTGCTTCTGATCCAGCCTACTGCCTGCCTGCTTATGCTCTTCACTCCATGAGGCCAAGGTATGGGGAACAGGTGCAGATCTCCACAAAGGTACATAAGTAACTGCTGCAAGGGGAGACATGCTGACCCACTTGTTCATGTCTCAGCAGAGTGAAGCCTGCGGCAGCCTCCTCCCACCAGGATGTGCTAGGCTCTCTTCCTCCTTGAACAGTCCCTGCCAGAGCCGCACATGACTGACCACATGAGCTAGCATGTTTCCACCAGTGCCCAAGCCAATGACCATGGGGAAGTTGCAGGCCCCAGGATTCCTTCTAATTTTGCTTTAAAGAGGAAGGCAAGGGACAGAAAGTAAGTTGTGCAGCTCAGCCTCTAGGACATGGCTATAGGTGGGGGGCCAGCCTGTGTACCAGATCTGGTGCATGAGCTACAAGGAGAGATCCTACCATGCTTGCCCACCTTCTGGCCTAGCTGGATGAACCTTCTTCCAGTCAGTTACCAGTGTACATGAGATGACTGTGGTAGAGAAAAATGGAGGTACATGTAGCCTAAGGGTGTGTGACAAAAGAAGTATTTGATGGTAAAGAGTGGCTCAGGCTGGCCTTTCCTAGACACTCAGTCCGACCCTGTGGCAGCTATTTGAGCCAGGTTACAAAGACCCAGGTTTCTGTATTCCAAGAACTGAGTCTAGAGGCTCCTCTGCTTTAGTCACCAGGGGGCAAGCAAAGGAAGCCTGACAATCGAGCCACACAGCATTATAGCAAGTTCCAATGTGAGCCAGGAAGACTAACAGAAGACCACCCAACCCTCTCTGCAACTCTGGGAAGCAGGTGAACAATGCTAGTGAAACTCAGTGGCAAAGGCTGCAACCATAAAATTCTGTCCAAGACCATTAACATGGAAAAAAAAAGTTTATATGTTAAGTACAAAAGGGACATAAAATTGTATATACAGTAGAGTAACAACTATGTAAACACACCAAAAAACTATGCACCAAGTTGTCTAGAGGAACATTTAACACCAAAAGATTAACAGTGGTAGCATTTGGGTAGCAAACTGATTCTTTAAAAATTTCCAAATTTTTCTTAATAACATTATGATTGCAACAGGGAATCATTTTTCTGAAACGCGTCTCTGGCTGGTAATTGAGCAGTGTAACATTGCTGTTACAGGTGGCTTTGGCTCAGCTCAGGAGAGGGCTACTCCTCACTGTGAGCTACGTTACTTCTGGCTCCCACCATTATGCCTTTCTCCCTTCATTATGCCCTATCCCCACCACATCTCCAGTTGCTTTCAGCCCTATCTTCTGTCCTCCCCAACTTGGGAACCAAAGGGCCTGTCCCACAAATAGAGGCCCCATAATGGCATAGTTTCAAAAAAGATGGGGTATCTCAGTGTAGGGCACACAGGAACTCAAATACAAAACATTTTCCTGTTGCTGAGCAAGTCATGCTTGGTGGTTGCTTAGGTTGCAGATGTGTTAATTATGCAGCCTTTCTTAACCCACAGCTCTAAATTCTCTCTTGAACAGTTAGTTACTCTTACCACAAATTTTCTACTCTGGCTAGCTGGGAGTACGCAGAAAACAGTTCCGATCATGTGGCTTTTTAAAGTCTTACAGCTATGTAGTAGGAGGCACCTTGGCAGCTATAGATTTCAGGCTGGGTTTGGGAAAGGCATATGCCTTGACTTGAACAAGTCAGAAAGTAATTGCTTGTGATTCACAGCCTAGTCCTGCAGCAGATCAGCAGCAGTGATGGCGTGTTTAACTGCTGAGCCACTATGGATGCTGGGGCAGAATCAATACCTGGTGAAGCCCAGCTTTTAGAGCGGCAGAGACTGTGTGCACTGCCTACTCAGGGCAGGAGCCAACTTTTGGTAGCTTAACCCATGCCTGGCTAGCACCCCTCCCTTTCCCAAGAGAAGGCAAAGGAAAGAAGTAAAGGAGCCTCAAACAAACTGAAAATGCTCTGGGGTCCAGCATCCTGTCCCCAAGTGCTGTAAGCCAGACACAAAAAGCAAGTCAAGAGTCACTGTCCTGTACTCACAGGCACAGACAGGGCATCACTGGGCTAATACTTCAGAAGGGGGTCCCAAAGTGCTGTTTGAGGAACACAGGAAGTCATCCCAAGACCCTCATTTAGCTGCCAAGGAAACAGCAAACACTTGGAAGCTTTGCTTCATTCAGTTTCCTGAAAGAAAAGGTAAAGGGAAGACTCACTAATACTTGTGGCAAACACTATTAGCAAGGTGCAGTCTTTCTCCTGGGCTGCAGGACACTTAACTTTTTCAGCTGAATTCTTGAGAAACTGCAGTATGAGAGAGACAGGTCTCATAACACCCTTAACCTATATATACGTATGAAGGGACGTCAGAAAGTTCGTGGAAAATTAAATCGAAAGATAATGCAATTTTCCCACAAACTTCTTGAAGCCCCTCTCATATATACAGTTTATATATGCACATGCGTACACACCCACACACAGATATATTTAAATGATGGTGCACACAGTGTGCTAAAATACCAGAAATCAAAGATCATATATAAAAATGCTAAATAGAACATATAACACAGGCCTAGAACCAGCTCTTGGTTGGGGAGCTGGTGAAAAAGGGTGATACCACCTGGAGACTATATACACAATTTGTGGTGGGCAGGGAAGCATCAGTGTAAACCACCCAGACTCACTCCACAATACTGGCCCATAAGAAAGCCTGGTGCACCTACCATACAAAAACAGGCTTTCACTTTGCTTTTATACATAACCAGGCTTGCCAGGTACCCAGGGGACCATGGGTCAGTCTTGGTGACAGGTGACTGTACCAAGCTGCTGCTGAACCTCTCAGCTCTGGGAACTCACCAGCCCCCCAGGGCCATGAGGCAGTCCTAGACCACCTACCCACCCACACAAGAATAACTGCACGGCTTCCTGCCAAGCAAGGTCCTATTCTGTTCCTTTCTCTGCCTCCAAGATATAGGAAAACTTACTTCTGTAAATGTTTGGCACTGAAAAAACATGATGGCTGTGGGATAATGCCACAGTGACACAAGTAGACCCAGTAACAAGACATGCAGGGCAAGGGCAAAGGGCTGAGCTGCCCTAGCATCTTAAAACCAAAACTGCAGCTTCCCATGCATTGATGGGGGTGAGAGAAGGGCTGTGCAGAATGAACAACTTCACTGGCTCCTCAGAAGCAAATACATTCAAAACTGAAGGCGTCTTGAGGACCCCACTATACCCTAGTCATGAGTCTGGTCACTTCTCTGGAGGAACTGATGCAGTGACAACTGGAAAATCTGAGTCCCAATTGAGTCCGTCGCACCAAGAGTCCTTCTGAAAAAGCATGGCAGGGAATTCTTCCCACGCAGTACATCCATGGGAGGGCCGTGTGACAAGATGTTCTCTAGTCCAGTCCAATGATTCAATCCCGGTATGGTCTCAGTTCCCTCTGAGTTTTTTCTTGCTAGCCCTCTCAGTGTGCACACAGCTGAGCAGCATCAGGGTCAGTCATCAATGGTGGGCAACCAGAAGGCCTGGAAGGAGCACACAAGTCAACTTAAAACAGCTGTCTCTTACTCCTGGCCACGGAGGGCTTTTCATATTCTACCCCACAGCATCAAGGGACTCATTCCCTCCTGACTAATCAGCACTCCTCTCTTCACATGAAGGTAAGCTGGTTCTGTCTCCCTTAAGCATAATATCTACCTTCTACCATGGGGGTCCTAGTATCAAGGAAAGAAAATGAATGCCCCCTAGGAGGTGGAGGCCTGGGTAATTCACCACGTGACCTTCCTGAGCAGTAGGAGTTTTCAGAGATGGAACAGGACGGTTTTGCTGTGTTTCTTTTGACAATGTTTTATTGGTTTAAAAAAAAGGGAGGGGGGTGAGACAATCTGGGTGGGATGGTGTAAAATGCTCCATCCCCAAATCCCCAGAAGATCCCAAGAGGAAACTGGGAAACTGGAGGCTGAGACTCAACTGATCCTTGTTCTGCTAGTGCTTTCTAAGCAAAGGCTGGGGCCTGGAAAATTTTCTGAGGAGGTCAGCATAAACTGAACAAAATAGAAAACAGAAAGGATTTAAGGTTTCAGCCTTAAGTGGTGAATTCAGAGTATTTTAATGAGCAAACCAAAAATATGATCGAGTGTGGTCCTAAAACCAGGGACCACAGCCAACACTAGCATATCTCCCAGGAGTTCAGAGGTGACTCCAAATTATGGGAAGAGCAAACCTGAAAGATCAGCCCAATCAAAGATCAGAAATTGGGAAGCCACCAGTTAGAAACATGGATCTGGGTGCTTGGAATGAATTTAATATTTAAAGCACAGCTTGTTGGGCTGTTAGGGCACCCCCCCACCCCCAATGGAAAGTACCCTTCTGTGGACAACCCCCTACCCACTGGGCACATACCATGTTGGAACAAGCACTGGCAAAGGTCATGAACTTGGGGTTGAACTGCAAACAAGTGATAGGGCCTGTGTGTTTTCCATCCAGCACAGCTACTTTGATACCACTCTCGCCATTCCAGACATGGATTTTGCCATCCTCTGAACCTAAAGAGAATGAGGAAAATGTGACAGCTCAGAAGACCATACAGACAACTGGGAACAAAACATGGATTAAAGTCCAGAGAGAGAGAGGCTGAGCTTCAGGATCCAGCCCTGAGCAGAAAGTAAAAGGAGTAGAGGCAGCGAAGGAAGGATACTTATAAAATTGTTTGTGACCATAGCTATTTGTTTTTATAAAATATCTGAGTTTTAGCATTTTAAAAAGGGGCTGAGTACCATTTACTCTACCAATATGTGGTCACTAAATGATTTAAAGGCAGGGTTCCCAGAAAATTAGCTTTACCAATTAGGTAGTGCTTGTAGGAAAACCTTAATGTGAGTTCTCAGTAAAGAGACTATCGAAGTCAGTACAGTTTAAAGCCATTAATACCTTTGACTTTATGTGAAATAGAAAACAGAAATCTGACAACATAAACCAAGCACATAATTTAACAAACAACACAGTAACAGTTAAGTGCTGTCGAGTCAGTTCTGACTCACAGTGACCTATATAGTTCCCGAGGAGCAGCAGGTGGATTTGAACGGCTGACCTGTGGTTCACAATTCAATGCTGATCCTACAACATCACATACTAGCAAAAACAAACGGACACTACTGAGAAATACTATGGCCAAGTGGAATAAAGGAAGCTCACCAATCATAATAAACTGGGAGTCTGGAGTAAATGAGGCCTCCAGTGTGACAGCTTTACTGTTGGCATATCCCTAAAACAAAGCAGAATAATAAAAGCCATTAACAAAAACAACTACCTATGCTATCACACACAACACCTTCCTTTCCACAAAACCTTCTTTATGCACAGCACTGCCACCAATGTTCCAAATGCAGCTACTGTCCATTAAAATTACTCCCTCCTCTCAGCCCCATACTGTTTTGTCGTTAAGTGCTGATGAGTCAATTCTGACCCACAGTGACCCTGCATAGGTTTTCCAAAGAGTGGCTGGTGAGCTTGAACCACTGACCTTGAAGTCCAACACATTAACTCACAGCACCACACCAGGAATCCAGCCCCTTACTAAGAGGGAGCAAGACAATGGTTTACAGTCAAGAATTATTTCATAGACACCAAACTTGGGTTACTGGGTGAAAAGTGGAGGAAGAAAATGCAAACCCGTGCCTTAACTGGTAAGTCAAGGGTAATTGCTGGTCTCCACCAACCAGCTAACACAACTCTCTGCCTGGCGGTAGGCAAAGCTGCCAGCTCACCCCAAATGTGTGCATCACCACACCCTTGAACGCATCAATGAGACGGATGAAGCTGCCATTGGTAGAGATGAGGATGAGTTTGCCATCATTGCTGAACTTCAGTCCTGTCCACTCACAAGTTCGATCATACTGCATCTTAAAAGTAGCAAATGGCCCCTGAAAGAAATAAAAATAAGCCCCAGGCCCAATTATAAATAAATAAAAAAATTCCTTTAAACTCTTTTTTTGCCTAGGGAAAGCAGAAAATGAAGTACAGCTCTGTCCCTCCTCTCTGATGCCCACCATAAATTTCCTCTACTGTAAAAAAAAAAAATCTCTTTAAACATCCATCTCTCCCTTAAACACTTCCATGCCAAGAATGCCCCAAGATTCAGTGATTTACCTTATCAAAAGAACGAAGATCATAAAGTTTGACCATTTCAGAATTGACACCTGCAGCAAAAATTAATCCTTCTGGATCAAAAGAACAAACTGGCTTGCCCTGTAAATGCATGAGACCCTAGGGGGAATGAAAAAAAAAAAAAAAAGACAAAAATTGATGAATCCAAGATCCCAAACACCATGTAATTTACTTTTGCTAATGAAATCTAAAAAGGGGATAAGAACTAAGACTAGCCTAGGCAGGTACAGAAGGGAAAACATAAATCTAAACAGATTTATTTTTTAAAAATCTGTAAAAATGATTTAAAACCTACACAATTGTACAATATTACAGACAGTTCAATTAAGAATATAAGCCCCTAGAAACTGAAAGCTTTAACGTAGAAAATCACAGAGCATAATGCAGTCAATGCTAGACTGGGTATTTGCTTACCAACAACTACCAGAAAAACAAGTTATCTCCAAAGTTAAAAAGACTCTGGGATTATAGAAGGAACCAGTGGGGTTTTTTCCCCCATTTTCCCTGAGAGGAAGAGCTGATGATGTTGGCCACAGACAATACTCAAAAAGTGTAACTGTGAATACCATACCTGGCAATTAGGGGACCGAAGATCCCAGAGTCGAATGGTTTTATCAAGAGATCCAGAAATGAAAGTGTCATCCACAGGTGACATGGACAATGCCACCACCCTGCAATGTATGATAGAGATGAAACAAAATATATCAACAAATGAATGTGAATACGAAACCAATCTGCCTACCTACATAGATATTTTCTTTCATAATTGCCATTTAAAAAAAGCTAAAACACACACATAAGCACATGAAAGACAGCTAGTATAATAACACCAAAAACTTTTAAAACTACAGTATAAAAATGTACTCTAATGCAAATTAAAGCAACAATGACCTACCACTTTACACCCACTAGAGTAAATATAATAAAAAAGACAAAGGACTTCTAACAAGATGGCGGACTAGACAGAAACATTACATGAACCCTCTATAACAAAGACTTGTTTATATAGTGCCGTGGAGTCAATTCCGACCCATACTGTACAGGGTTTTCAAGAAGTTGGTGGGTTTGAAACACTAATCCTGCAGTGCTACACCGGGACTCCATAACAAAAATACGACAAAATAATACAGACAGATGAAAATTCTGGCACCCTGGTTAGAGAGGTGGATGGAGTATTTGCTGGGAGGAGAGACCAAGCAAGAATGGAAAGAAAGGGAAAATAACTTGACTGGTGAATGGCTGGCCAGACATGGTTCGACCATCTTGTGAGCAGCTGTGTCTGCACAGGGAAGTCTGGCATTCACAAGAGTGGTGAAAAGGTGCAATTCCTTCTTTTTCCCCAAGCTGCCCCTGGAGGCCTGAAGTGTGGCCAGCGCCTACCTTCATCTTCCCCAAGTGCAGACTCTGCTTTCCAGGAGTCTGGAGTTGCATGGTTTGGAGCCATGCCAACATGGGGTGGGGGCCAGCTACGCTGCTTTGGTTTGTAATTTTGGTACCTGGATTCAGGTGGGCAGCTTGGCTCCAGACATACATAACCCACAGAGCCACCAGATTAGCATTTAACCAGTCACCCTGCCCTAATGGTTTCCTGTGGTCCTATCAGACACTGAAACCAGCTC